AAACTCAAAGCTCTCCATGGCCTTTTTCAAGCCAGTCGCCTCGGCACGTTCCTCGCTTTTTTTGGAGAGCAAGTCTATAGTTAGCGCTTGCATAAGGTCAGCATAACGGAACCGCAATGATTGGACGGCGTCTTGTCTTGATGCCCATCGTGTCGGGCATAGTCTCTTCAGTGTAGGCTGGCCAGCCTTGGGCACTGAGAGGTGTGTTTCCAAAAGCTCCCATCGTTTGATGCTTCCACTAAAGAATACATATAGCCTTTCAACAGTGTCGTAGAAGTCTTTTATCTCAGGTATATTTTGGCATGCGTCATTGAGTACAAGGTTTAAATTGTGCGCAGCACAATGAATGTACACTGCGTTGGGCTCTTTATCCCTTATGCGTTTGTGTACACCGGAGTAGACGCCACTCATATTGCTAGCCCGGTCATATCCTTGTCCGCGGCACTTCCCAAGTAGTATCCCCTTGCTCTCCATCGATTCGAGAATTTCTCTCTCTAGACCTGCAGCAGTTTGGTCTGTGACTGCATGGAAGCCCAAAAAACTTTAGTTTATTTTCACCTCTGTAGGGTTTCCATTTTCATCATTTGCTATAGTAACATATCTGAACACTTGACTCAGTTGGTCTACTTTTGAAATGTCCTGGGTAGTATCCATTATAATCGAATAGAATTCTGCATTCTGTATGTCTGTAATGATTGTGTTTCTGCACTTTTTTCGATAGCAATGAAATTATTTCGTTTTGAGTTTGAGGACTTATAGTGCACCTTCTTTTTGCTTTCAATAAGCCTTTGCAGAACTGGATCATAACGCGCCATAAATTCTATGGTAGATAAGAAATTACCATTATCTATATCACCTATTTTCTCTCTGTGACCCCGGAAAGCAGAGTTGCGAGAGGCCAGTGTTAGTGTAACATCAGTTATTCTGGTTAGGACCTCGTTCCAAAACCCCACCTCTCTCTTAAACTCAGATGATATTTGCGCGTCAATGGTCAGATTATTTTTCCACGTATCATACACGACACATGCTGCCAAATGAGAGCGAGAGAATTCGTGTTCCTTAATCTTTTTAGAGAGACCCTGCCAATCATTTATTCCTATTCTCCACGCTTGGTGGAGGTGATGGGCAGACGGTCTGTCACCGAACAGCCAGCACTGCTCACAGTACACCCGGTCCATAGATGGCGAGTAACATAGTCACTTACGCGGAATTCTACATCCAATGTTGGGTGTTTTGTTATAGAACTCTTTTGAAAAGCACCTTCCCTTCCCATCCCTTTTGAATGGCCCTTCAGGCTTGCATGGCCCGTTATTCAGAATTTACCGTTTAACATCATCGTCTTCTAAATCTACAGGGAATTTCCCCCTATCAGTAGGGTATTCAGTCACAGAGTTGTCGCTGGCCAACGTGTCCCTGGGGTGGGTGGGAGCTGCTGTCACTGTCGGGGCACGGCTAGCTGGCTGGGCAACCTTGGCTATGTCTGAACTGGCCTCGGAGGGGGCACAGCTGACTTCTTGCTGACCTGCAAAAAGGAACGGATTAGATTCCAATTCCAATGTAACCTGTAGCATACTCTTACTGGTTATGGCGAATAAAACGTTCTATTATTTTAATGTCTAACCTGTCTCGAAGCGCGAGGCACGACTAGCTGGCTCGGCTGTAACGGGGCTGCTGGGCTGTCTGCCTGGACTCGGAGCTGACGGCCGGGGGGGGTTGCTAGCGGTCTATCTGCAGTAACGTTAGAGTCTACGTCTACCTTTGCTGCCTGCCGGAACAATTACGTTATTTTAGGTAGTTTTGCCCTCTCCTGTTCGGCTTTCGCTCTCATTTTGCTTTTCTGAGCACCGCTTGGGTAGTGGCGCTTCATTTTTCATGTTTACCGGCAACGCAACTAATGAACGTTATTTATATGAGCAATGCTTCCCGCTTTGTTTTGAACGCTGCCCAGCCTGCCAATGAACATTAGTTATCAGCCGGCTAGCCCTATCGCAGGTGAGCAAATAATTATAATGATACACTGTTGTACTACTATAGGCAGCGTACACATGACGTAGCAACATAGCAGGGAGGGGGGGGCCCCGCCCTCTGCGCCCTGTTCCCGCGTTACGAAATCTAAGAGGATAGCCTACAGTGGGGGCGGGGCCCCCTAAGCTCCGGGGCTCCCCCGCACCGCGGGGGGTGCGGGGGCCTCCGCTACGCCACTGGCTGTACCTTAATAATATAAAGGCTTGTATTTGCGTGCATTTCCTGTTCGGAAAGTGGCGCTATATTGAGAGTGGAGGGTGTCCTGAGATTAGCGCCTGCAGGCAGGCTCCATGGAGCTGTCAGCTCCGGACTGCGCAAAATGCGTACATGAAGCGAATAAATCTACCCTCGTGGGGGCGCGCTCATGTGATTGGCTTAGAATTAAGGAGACATCTGATTGGCTATAGATAGAAATAATTACAAGTACGAATCGGCTGACCGTCAGGGGAGTCTAAAAAAACCCACACACGAATGCACAGCGATCCGTGCACAGAAAGCGGTTTCTGTTTGCAGGTTCAGAGGTTTTGAACAGAAAACAAATATGTGAGGATCAAAAATACACATGTACAACTTTTTTCTGTATTTGGATTTTATTTACATGTATATGAAACGGAACACATTTGTGTGTGCATTGAAAAACACAAGTGTGGATCCGGAAATACAAGTGTGAATCCTTTTGCGGATCATGAAATACAAGTGTGAATCCTTCTGTGTGCATGTGTGTATTATGAGACTGTTCTGAGCCCATACTCTTCCACCAGATGGTGCCACTGTAAGGGGTTTTACAGCCTGTTGCAGCTGCACAGCAGTAATGGACAGTCACTGCTACCATACTCTGTCCTTTGCGTGGTGGGTAGAATGTGTGAATAAGTCATCTGTGAATAGTCATCTTTAGTTTGATAATTGTACTACTTGGACTTAATCTTGACTAGATACATATCCACAATGGTATGTTATGCACACACATAGCCATTATCATTTGGATCTATTGTGTTATCAGCAGCGTTTGACAGGCATTACATGTGTATTTCTTTTGTGATTCTGGAGGAGTTTTGTGATTTTTTCCCGAGAACTATGTCAGGGATGTATAATTTAAGACACGGCTATTTCAGGGAGGATGAGTGTAACTAAGGACTCCATCATGGTTGGGATATAGGATGAAGTGATTTTGAAGGTTGACACATCCTCGAGAGTAAAATACAGGATGTCAAGGAAAATGCCCCTTTCTGTCAGCTGCTTCTGTTTCTTTGTTTGGCTGACCATATGAGACACATTCATCAAACACGAGGCCACCAAGTGATATTCTTATCCATCTATCAATCAATTTATTTTGACCGTCAGCGTGATAGATATAATTCCTTTGAAATGTTTTTCATTGAACGTCTGAGGCAGACAGGCAGTGTCCTAATGTAGAATCTAATTATTGTGCCCAAGTATTTTAATAAACACTGATTGTTTTATACTGTATCAAAATGATGGCACAAGGATTTACATACAGTAAATAAAATGCGCATTTTAATTAAATTAAACTTTTTACAATGATATGTAGTTAATTTATATCAAAAAGATCCACACATGTGAAGATGCTTAATGCTGTTAAACTCTCAGACCTTATCCTGCAATAATTAGCACAGTGTCCACTTCATGTCTGCCGTTGGAGGTCTTTTCAACAGTTAAGGGGTCAAACACAGAGTCATACTGTATGTGATCCTTGACCCCAACTAAGAGGTGAAGTCGTGAAGACAAGCCGAGTTTAAAGTGGTAATCCACTATCCTGATCCCTTCTTGAACCTTTAGTGACGCAGGGTCACTGCTGTTTTCGCTATCCTTACAAAAATGATAAGTCAGTTATAGTGACTGGAGGTGCTTTCTTGTGTGTGTGTGTGTGTGTGTGTGTGTGTGTGTGTGTGTGTGTGTGTGTGTGTGTGTGTGTGTGTGTGTGTGTGTGTGTGTGTGTGTGGTGTGTGTGTGTGTGTGTGTGTGTGTGTGTGTGTGTGTGTGTGTGTGTGTGTGTGTGTGTGTGTGTGTGTGTGTGTGTGTGTGTGTGTGTGTGTACAGAAATCTGCTGAGGCAATTTTTTCATAGCTGTTGTTAGCTCATTAGTTGACTATTTTTTGATAGATGCCAAGTCTTTATGGATTAGGTATTGGTATATTAATAATTAGCTTTCCTTTGAACATTTAATTGTTTGTTAGGTTTTGTCTGCATCACAGGATTCAGGAAACTGGAATTCAGCCGTCAACAATTTTACTTTTTGTACCTACAATTTTCCTACAGTGATGTGTAAAAAATATTTAAAAGTCGAATGTAATGTTTTTTTATTAAACTTGAATTCATAGGTTTTAAACCCCTCCTTTAACAACAGTAAAGTAATCAAGTACAACAATATATGTTTACACTTGCATCATAATTGTGCATCATTTTGGATTTATATCCAATTTACAGTTTGTATTTACATTCAGAATGCTCAATAATTATACTGTTGCTACAAAGCAACATTTTAAACAATTTTGTAGAAAAAACAAAAGGACAACGATAGAAAAAATATTTTTTCTTTTGACATATTAACCATTTATAACAAAAAAGCTGAACTAAGGTTAGCAGTGATATACTTTATGTAAATATGATCTGCACCTTTAAAAATGTGATAAAATAGTTTGAATAGTATTTTAAGAAAATATAGGACTTTCTATAATTATTTGTTTAATAGATTCAAGAGAGGATAAAGTAGTGTTTTTGTGCGTTAACACTGTTACAGTTCCACAACATTTTTCAAGGGCTTTTGTTCCTATCGTTGGGCAGTTCTAAACAACTTATTTCAGTCTGTGATTATTCAACTGCATTTGCTGACCATGTATCCAAAGTGAGTCCAATGTTTCAGTTGTAAAATGTGTTGATGTGTTTTGGTAAAAGTGTGGATTTTGTCCTTTGAATTAGTCCACATGGTTAAGGCCCACAGTTTGTGCTCAGACACTTCAGAACTGTGCACTCCGCTGCTCCAGCACCCATCCTGCAGGGTTCGTGTCTAACTGCAGCATGTTGAGCACCCAGGGGTCCAGCTGTGCGCCTCTAATAAACTCCTCCATGTTAATATGACCTAAGGAACAAAGTTGAAGAAGGATTTATGCTCTATGCTGAAGCACATTGTTATTCTACCTTATTTTTTCACAACAGCAGTCCTTGTTACATGATAAGGGATGCTTCAAAAAATGCTTACCATCATTGTCGGTATCCACGGCTCGTAATAATCGATCCACGGCCTCGTCTACTGTAAGCTTAAAATCGTCCTCATCCTTCTTTGTGCCTTTCTTTATCTTATAGATGCTCTAGGTGGAAAGAAATAAACCAAAAGTTGTATTCAACTGAAAAAATAAGCCCCCATAATAGCCCAGCTACTGCCCTAATGATGCAATAGTACCCTACATTTCCAATATTGAATTGAGTTTCTAGGATGATGTGTGATGGCTTTACTGCAGCATGGTGTTCCCTTTTTAGTTTGAGCTATTTTTGATTCTGGGAAATATTTTACAATTTTAAACACTTGCATCATTTGTCAGTAAATGTTTTTTTTGTATGTATCTGTTTATACTCAAGATTGGAGGCAACACATTGACAGCCTTCAAACCAGTTCGCACATTTTTGGTTTTGTATTATGTTTGCCTTTTATATTAATCAGAGAATAGCATGTTTTAATACAGTGCATATATATTTTATTATAATAAATAGTAAATACATATACCAGTTCACACTTGGACCTGAAACATCATGGTCTGGATAATCAGCTTCTCCATTAGAATGAACACTTTTCACATGTACTATCCCACCTGTAACTATAGCAGATTGCAGATACAATGGTGAGGCTAAACACCAACTGTTGAATTGAAATATTGTATATTACTTATTTCCATTAAAACGGATCTTGTCCTTCCTCCCTCTCTGGTTTTCCAGAGAGGTGAGACTAAATCAATGTTAGATTATAGTGAATTTACCTAAGGTGTAAAAGCTACACATGAATATGACATTTTGATTAGATTAAACTGAATTATCTTCAGACATGACATAGTACAAAAGACCAGGTGTACAATTATTAATAACTGAATTCCTTTGAGCTCTGTCAGAGGCCTGGTATTTTTCATTCTGACTCACAGTCATAATAGTCTTAGTGGGACACAATGCTGTTGATACCTGCTAATTTCCTACAATGACAAAATACAAAATTGCATATATATAGTTTATTAGAATTATTAGGGTTAGACATGATAAAGTCCACAGAGCTGAACAGTAGAAAAGTCAAATATATAAATATTGGAAGTATCATATGAGTTCAAATCAATGATGTGCTCTTATTATCTGTTTTACGTTTAGGCTTTAAACAAAATGCTGTTCAGAAGAGGAACTTTCTGTAAGGGAATCCCCTCTTTTGAGCTCAGTATATCAGTTGCATCCAACACCCACAAGACATTTTGTTGTATTTAAGTAGACTTACATTGATAATGGCTTTTAGTTCATCCCTGTCCACATAGCCATTGCAGTCTTGGTCGTACACCTTGAATGACCAGCGCAGTTTAGGCTCTAGTTCTCCCCGGAAAACAAGGTTCAGTGCTGCCACAAACTCAAGGAAATCAATTTTGTTGTCCTGAAAGGTACAGTAGGTTGAATGAGAACTATTGGATTACATATTTCCATTTTGGTAAAGATGAACAATATGCCAGGCTCTTACAGCTATGATGGTCTCACCCTATTTCTGTCGAAAGCTCGAAACATGCTCTCCGCATAATCAGACGCTTCTCCTGTTGCTGCCACACCAAAGAAACGCTTGAACTCATGCAGAAAAAGTAGTCCACTTGGGCACTCCAACACAAACTTTTGATACATGTTCTGAATTATTTGGACATCAACATCCTTAGAGTTCTCTGTTTGCTGAATCTGCCCCATGGCGGGCCTGTATATCAGCAGACCATCGTCCTGAAACCTTTGGATGTACACTCCCCGATGGGCTAGTCTGCAGTGGGTATATCATACTCTTGGACTTTTTTTTTAACCCTCTTGAATCCCAATGCTCCTGTTTGCTAATGAGAGAGGTGATTAGTGCGGCCTTAGGATTACCACGGTATTATGTTGGTGGGGTTTCCTTTCTTAGTTAAATAGCAGGTACCTGTGCGTATAAGAAAACTTGTAGGAAGGTCAGGCATAATTCCAACGAGCAAAGGAAAAGGTATGTGTTCCAATAGTATGGTGCACATTAAAAAAGCACATCAGCAATGTTAAAGGAAGGCAATACGTGGGACACTTGGAAGGTCAGCATTAATTCTGACATATATAGTTAATCCTTTTCTGGAAACATGGGGGAACCGCAACAAACTGTGAATCCTTGTAACATATATTCCCCTACTGAATACTGGAAAAACATGGCTCTTTAGCAAGTTGATGTTCCACTTTCTCAAATTTGAATGTCTGGTTTTCAGAGCTGGTCACTTTGTTTTAGTTTTTCATAAGAGTACAACTTTTGACATTACAAATAATAAGTGAATCCATCAATCCATTGGTAAAAAAGGAAAAAACAAACATTCATTAATGCAGCTATAAAGGCAAAACATGCCATTTTTAGATATGTCTTTTATGATCTTCAGATATTTCGTCTAGCGCCACTTTTATGTTGACATATATGAATTTGAGTTGAATGCTTTAACAACTAATGGATACAAATTGCAATTCAGTTTGGAACATTTGTGTGAGGAACTGAAAAATCTAGGAACCCCTTGACTCTCCCTGTAGACATAGATGTGACCTGCATGTGCTGCATCACTTAATACTATGACTCTGATATAAAACAGGTAACAACTAAATTGTATCCTGGCCTGTCCTGGAAACTCTATTTGCCAAATGGCTGGTTTCCAATTCCATTTCCATCTTTAATCAGTCATAGTGATTCTCTGTACGACTAAAAGATACTAAGACGCTAAAGCGGTTTAGGTCAAGCTTACTTTGAATTGGTATATCAATCTCTTTAATTAGATTACATTAAGGAGACAAGCTCTCTCAGGCTCCGTCAGTGTGTCCAAATCAACCATGGGGGCCCAATTAGTTTTAAAATAATTGATGGTTACTTGTTAGTTCCTGTTTATATTACTTAATGGTCCATCACACCTTGGTGCCAGTAACTACTCAGGACCTGTCACCAAATGTGGTTATTAAGATGCTGAGTTGCACAAACCAAACCGTATCTGGCGCTTTTCAAAAAGACACTTTACAAAAGTCACACTTAACAATGAAGGTCACACATAGAAAACGACAATTCAAAATTCAGATTGGCGGAGTTATGATGTGGGGGGTAAGAGTTCTATGGGAAAAAGCAAGTCTGAAGAGGTGGGTTTTGAGTGCTTGTTTGAAGGATGCTAGGGTGGTTGACTGTCTGATTTGGGAGGGCGGGGGGGGGGGGGGGGTGCAGATGGGCGGCAGAGTTCTGGACGTATTGCAGTTTTTGGTGATTTTGTTTGGTAGACAGTAAAGATTAGAAAGTAAATACATGTTTTGTACTTACCATTTGTACTGTGTAATTAGTTTAGGATTACTATCATGCTGATGTCTTATTGGCTGGTAGTCAGGACACTGTATTAATGGTGTGACCCTCGATACAAGCCCTGAGAAGTCATTAGAGGTTTCTACTGTTAGATAATCCCACAACAGCAGGGCCACTCCGATGATGTCTTTTATCAACTTGTAAAGCACCTCTGATCATGATGTGATGTGTTTCTGGCTCTTCACACTCATGTATTTGACATTTATAATACATTTAAGAATTTGAATAGAGGGATACAAAAGTTTGCATCCATACGGAATACAATTATTGGTGGAAAGTTTTCTTTGGCAGATATATTGATCATACTGTGGATACTTCCAGTGTTTGTCCTTATAAACACTCTGACTCAGGTTCGATCTGTATCTTTTAGCCCTGATATTGGTATGCTTCCTATCCCTAACACAAATAGACTGTGGCAGTAGAACATCTCAACCTAGGTAATAATTACTTCTTTACCCCAATGTACCCATGTCACAAAGTGAGTTCATTCAAATCTCTTTGAAAAAAAGCAGTCTTAAGCATCCCATTGACATGAATGCAAATGGTTAATTGTTTTAATACATTTCCACTCCAATTATTGTAAAGGTCTTGTCATGTCAAGACTGAGTTTTTGTAATTTGGGTGAACATGTTTTTGTTTTTTTTGTAATACTATACACATTATTTTTAAGAGGAGATCTTAAATGATTTCTAGTCATACTTCCTAGGGTTGATTCCGTTTGTGTCTGGGTTCATGATTTGTTGGCACTGTGTCAATGATGTTTCGTCAACACATAAGGGAGACTGAGTCAAACTAACAAGATTAGGCTTTCAGGTGAGGGATTTTCCTCACAGGGGTCTGACTCTCACTTCCGCTGCTGATCTCATATGACCCTTCTATATAACCACTCATGCACAATGTGAAGTTTTTACCTTTACGTAACTGATTTAATTAATGTTATTATTATTTTTCTGCATAAGTTAAACACTATTTAAAGATTGAAATGACTTCTACCTCCTGCTGAAGCAGAAAGGCAGGAACAGGTGTCCATCTAAAGCAGATTCACTTCTAATATGGCTCATATGCTTTGTATTTTTGTTAAAAGCACATACTGTTTTCAAAAGTGATGGATAAGGGGAAAATGTCAAGAATATTATAATAAGTCTTATTTGTAACCCTTCAAATTCAGTAACATGATCCTATATGTCTGTTTAGGACCAGTGCCAGACACACTTTATATAGAATTAACGCCCTGCTTGAGATTTTCTCTTTTTATGATCATTATTTTTGACATCATTATTGCCGTTTATTTTAAAAAAGTTACCACATAGATAGACAGGTTTTTTTTTTTAAGGGGACATAATGATGAATGTATGCTTAAAAGCACAACATAAATTAACCATGTCCAATAATCTCCACTAGATGGTGATATTGGTTCAATGTTTATTTTAGTCTGAACACTTTGTGTTGCAGATTTAGGATTTTCATGTCTGAGGTTATTGGGGAGGCTATTTAATCCAGAAATTAAAACATAACAACCATCCAAAGGCAAGCACCCATCATAATCACACTATTAAAAGTTGGCATTTGTAATTCAGAATGTACAGTACTAATTAGTTGTTATTAATTGTCACATTATTGCTGTGAAAATACTCTCCTCCATCAGAAGCAGATGATACAAATAAATGTATTTATTAAGTCTTTCATATAATTCAACTGAAATTATATAGATATTACTTTCCAATGCAGTGATCAACATACCAATGTTGAGCATGTTATCATAGTTATTTCTCTGTCGCTTAACATTATTTCACATAATATAATATTCAGTACTATATTGCCATACAAATTGATACATTCTGCAGTGTCATTGTCTCACTGCATTGTTTGAATTATTGATGCTGATAGAAAGAAACAAAAAATTGCCCTTTTACCAAAGATATGTTCTATTTCTCATTTCCTCCTTCCACTCACTCCAAAATGATTTGTACAAAATACATCATGAGATGATACAGATCAAACACAATGCTGTAAGATGTGTATCACACAGCATATTAAATGAACATGGTATACCCTAGAGTTGCATCCATGCCCAAGCCCACTTTTTGAATCCACTTGAAATATTCTGCATACTAAAACTCTACGACCTTGGTAGTTAAACAACGCTTCACATATGACCCTGATTTCAGTGATTGGATTTGGGCCTAAGGACCTGAGTTGCATGTCAAATCTCTTTCTTGCCCTCTTCCCCTATATTAACATTTTTACTTTAAAATCTTACAAAAACAGCTAAAAAAAACTGTCCCTCAATATCCACTCAGTAGCTGTACTGAAGCATACTCAGTGGATGGGGATTGCTCAGTTGCCATTACTTGGCATAAGTATGGAACTTTGACGTGTGTTCATAGGGATACTTGATAAACAAAAATGTATTGCGTGCTTGAAAACATGTTAAAGGGGCCCTATTATACTATGTTCACGGTTAATTATTGTATGTTATGCCTCTACTGTGACATGTTTATATGCTTTAATGTTCAAAAAGGTCTTTATTTTTCTCCTACTGCTTGTGGGGCATCACCTCTTTTCACCCTCTGTCTGAAACCAGAGCCCAGACTGCTGTGATTGGTTAGCTGGTTGTATCAGTTGTGATTGGTCTATCTCTTAGAGATGTCCCGCCCCTTAGCCTATCATAAACAATGTGTTGGAGCGCTAGCCAATAGATGCGTGAGTGTTACGTAGTTAGTTTGTTATGTTACCAAAGTAAACAAAGCACTATAATGGAGGCATTTCAGGCAGTCAATACAAATGTTATGACTTGGAACTGAAATCAAGCAGTGTTTTGCGAGTTTGCGGACACCCTAAAACTCAGTTTAAGACTTTTTTCTAAACGCTGTTGAATTACAGATTATGATCACAACTGTATTTTAAATCCCTACGGCCGATATTTTTAAACGATATCATGTAAGCACTTGAATATCTTCTGGGTGATGACCGAAGATCACATCAATGGCAGCACCAAAGCTCCATTCATCATACCTTTTTCATCTATTAGTCATATCTAGTAAGAGCTTTCTGTGCCTGCTTGTGTTATTTCCTCCATCTGTTACCATCTGTCAATAAACTGTAGGGGGAAGCTCTTTTTTTCTTCCAAAGTTCAGATGACAAATAGCATGCTGCAGATCTTTTTAATATAAATAACAAAGGCTTGTGTTCTTTAGAGCAATTCAGAGGTATACCTATATGTATATTTGACATAAAGTTTGGTTTAATTTGTAGATATTTCACCGGTCCTTCTTTTAGGACAGATCTTGCCCTCCTGGGATAAGATAAATTATTTAGCTATCTTTTTAAAGAGCAATGCAGGAAGGTTGGGAAA